TTTAAGTAGGCAGCCCTCATATGCTTTGCCATATTCAAATAATTTGACCTAAACTAGGGAATATTTTTCTCTAACTAAATCTCTTAATAAGGAAATTGGGTTACTTTAACAATACAAATATATTATACGTAAAAGTTTGACATAATTTGCGAAAAGATCTGATATAATAAATTTTAAAACTAATCTCAGAAATTTACATATAGGAAACATGTAGAAAAGTTCATGTTTTAAAGTAATACACCATTAGTAAAGTTATAATAATTAAAAAATATGTTCTATATAACTAAAACGTGGATTCTAGAATTCTTGCATCACCTATAATGTGGCGCTAAGTAACACGCATGGAAGTAATTAATTATTTTGCGAATAATTTTGAAAAATAGCTGACCACGATGAAAGTACTGCAGTAAAATGCATAAAATAATTTTTTTTTTCATATTATCTTTAAACACTAAAAAAACAAAAAGTGAATTATATCTACCAAATAAACCTGACTCCCTAAATTAAAATTTCTAAGCAGTGAGACAAAAATAAGATGACTTTTGATAATGGTATTGTTTTGTTTGGCAGGAGCCATATTTACTACTAAAAGGAACACTAAATCAGCTGCATTTCAACTGTGATTTACTAAAGCATTTGGTGTTTACTTCAAAATCACAGTTTCAAATTACTACAGAAAGAGAAAACATCTGACTCCTAATTCTGCAGATTCATTCAGGTCAAAAGTGCATTCTTAGCCCAAATTATATTTCTTTCTTGAAACCCTAGAATAACATTCATGTGCACACCTGCATTGAATAAAACCCACCCTCTTTTCAGAATTATTTTCTCCCTCAAGCATTCCTCCCCACACATAAAGAAAAGGGTGCATGTTATAAGGCAAATATACCTAAAAATGTTTAAAATGTAGTTTGAAATTACAGATTCACGTTATACATTAATGTGCATTCCACACCAGAATATACAGTACTTTGTTGCTATTTAGTTTCAATAATGAATTTTCTTTCTTTTTTGCATTCAAATAAGAAACACAATACCCCATCTAACATCTAGGATTCTATAATCTATTAGATCATTCTGGATTTCGGACTTTTTACTGTATAAATAATAAGAGAAAACAGAATGATACATCAAATTTCACCACAGTAGAATAATTATATTGTGTGGAATTGTGAAAGAAACATCACAAAAGAATGACACTCCAAATCTGATTATCAAAATGGAGAACATGTTAAAAGTAAAGCTAGCCATTCTTCCATTGATTTGCATACTCAATATTTGAAGCAGAGGGTGAAACTAGCAAATGCTATCTTCCTCATGTATGTAATTTTTTATATGAAGGATCCATAAATATATTCAGTTCTTGAAAATTCATACAATGGGATTAGAAGTTCCTAGATTTCATACATTTTAAAGCAATCGAAATGGATCATAGCTCTATAAATGCCCATTGACTAAATACATTGCATTAACTTCTTATACAATTTAATAAGGACACTATATTTAGTGAGTGATCACATATCTTAGTCATAAACATCATGAATTAACTATACACTCAGCAAACTGACAAATTTACTTTTAAATGACTAATCATTCAGTGTCAAAGAAAAATTTTAGAACACTTGTTACATATTTTCTATCATTTGTTTACATCAATTTTGCACCTAATTTTCACCAAATTTGCAATCTATACTTTAAAGTCATATAATTACTTAGGTCAGTGACTTAGTGACTAGTAATGCTTCACTTAAGTCAGTAACTGTTTTCTGCTTACTTGCTTACATAAAAGCAAAATGTTGCTGTAAGTAGAGTAGCACTCAGTACATAATTTACTATTTTTTAAAATTCACAATCTGATATTTTTATTCAATTTGACATATGTAATAATTATTGTACAACATTAATATTTTAATAATTTTTTCACTTTATTTCATGCTTATTCCATAATTAATTAATTACCACATAAAATATATTATACATCATTTGCATAACACAAACCTGCAATATGATGCACCAAACTATAAAACAATTATTTAAAAAATTATACTGAATTCTGGCTGCATTTTTCATATGTTAATTTTTTATACCTCATTTAACTAATCTGAATTGCTATATTTCCTTGCATAGAATACTGTAAAAGCACGAACAATGATTGAAAACAAATATGTTGCTAGCCATTAATAAGTAAAATATATATGAATGAGATCACACGAATAAATGCATGCAAATTAAGATTTCATATGTACTAATTTATTCTCTTATCAGCACGTATATTCAGATGAACAGATTCAAATATATTTTTCTCAAAAATAGTGAGAGTTTGAAGTTGGTAGACCTTTCTTTTTAGTGAAGATTAACTGGTTATAAATTTTATATAGCTGCCAAATTTGAAATCTGAAATTCATGTGAAAACTGGAAGGTTATCTTAATAAAAAATAAAAAAATAGCTTAATATTTATTTGTTTACCTTATTAAACATTTCTTTCAAGTTACTTTGTTTTTTGTGCTAATACTTTTTCTTTAATTCTGTAGACAGAGATAATCTCTTGTTTAGTTACATTGTTGAAGTCCTGCATTCTCTGTCACTTTCTTAACTATCGATAGTGGTATTTTCTGGATCTAGAACAATACTACAGATTTCTCCATTCATTAATTGATTGATGATTGAGAAGCATTGTCATCACAATGAGAAACTTCTTTTATATCATCTTCATTTACTACAGCTTCTCCACATTTCTTTACAAAAGCCATTAACTGGAAAATTTCACCTTTGTTTTCCGATGTCCGAAAACCTTTAAAATTAGCGGCTATCATCATCAAATTTAGCTATCCTTGCATCATGAGCTTGCTGACTAATGACAAGTTGTTCTGTTAAATTTTATCTTGCTTCTATCGCGCACTGAGACAATTAAGCTTGAACTGTATTAGTTTAGTTATTTATTATACTTATTTCTTGCACATGCTTAAGGCTTATCACATAAATAAATGCTTATATCTATTTCTTGCACATGCTTAAGGCTTATCAGATAAATAAATTTCCACATATACTTAAGCCTTATTGAGGTCCAGCGCTAGAAATCTTACTGCCTGATGAAAACTCTGTGGGTCCTAAATTCTGGGACACAGCGCGGCCATACGAGCCCTGGCACTGGTTCTGGGTTTATGCAAATAACAAATCAGTTATTCTTAAATCAAATAGCCCTAAATGTAATCTTTGGGTCTATGAGTATCATCAACAAAATCTATTTTTAGCATATGAAAAGAAATTTTTGGTAAATTGTTCCTTGTCAACATTTTTAGCACATTTAACTTTAATCTGTAATCATAGCCAAGTGTAATGTCATCATAAAAGGTTACCATACTCCTTTATTATTCAAATACTAACATAAAAAAATTGTTAAGGCATTGCCACATGAGTCATTACTCAAGTTGTCATGTTTTGATAAACATGCGATGATGAAAGGAAAGTATAATAAATAATGATTTGCCAGGTTGGCATCAGATGAACAATGTATCTATGTGGAATGTTTCAGTTTGAGATAATGCCAAGATCATATGCATCAACAGAGCCAAATTACTGATCGCACAAATTTATGCTAAAATAATTGTTTCTTCAATAACAAAAATATTTTATTTAGTGTCGAAATAAAATTAAGAATCGGGACTCTCCAGATGTTTTATTATGCGCAGAAGGGAAAATCAAATGCGCATGCGTAAAGCCTACGAGAAAAATTTTGTTGGTGGTTTTGAGGACCGTATTTTAGATCATTCCGGATAATGAACGTCTGGTTTTGGACTTTGTACTGTACATAACAACAAAATAATAATAATAATAATAATAATGAAACTTAAATAAGTTCTTGAAATATGTCTACACATTATTTAGAAGACTTTGCTATAAATATCGAGTTTGGATTTCATTCTTAATGCTTCATAATTTACTACACAATAAATTATAAATATCTATTACATTTAAAAATTTAACAACAGTGCTTTTATTTGTTGCAAATTTAACCTATACATTTACAGAGCATTATTGAAGCTAGTACATGTAGCTGTCTTATCGATATTTTGATCTCCTAAATGTCTCTTGCTCAGGCATGTTTCATTATCAGGTAATGAAAAAAAACTGGGCACCCTTCCTCTTTCTATTCTAATCCCCATGAGATAAAAGAAACAAAAAGCAAAACAAAATAATCTTCACTTCATATTTTTTTTTATTTATAATCCTTTCACTTTGCTTTGACATGAGCATTTATAAGGATTTAATAATTTGCACAACAAAACAGTTTTTGTACTCTTCTTCAACTTATTCCTCACATAGTCATATAGGAAATTCATGTTTATTCTGTAGTTTAACAGGTGAAAGGATGAAACTATGTTGATTACAATGGAATAAGAGGATACAAATTAAAATCTTGGATATTCAGTGACCTAACAAGAGATCAACAGATTAATGAAAAAACAGAAGTTTTAGCAGCTATGGATTGTGGCAATTAGGGCTATATGCCATAAGAGGAATGCATTCATAAAAGATTTTCTAAGAGAAATTGGTTTGCAGAAGAAACAATGAGAAAAGTCTCATGTAAGGTAACCTGGTCACTGGAATTTGGACGCAATGTGGAATTGGACTATCAGTGTTTTGCAATTTTACTCATTCAACCACACATGAACATGTTGTAAGGGATATCTTTGTTGAAGGCTTTTTATGGAAAGTGTCTAGTATTAATATTATGCATACAATCCATGAAAGAAACTATGATGCAAATATTAAAAACAAATTAAGTACCTTTCCATGCTTTATGAAACAAGCAAACATAAACAGGATAAGTATTCAAAGACATCAATCAATCATATAGTATTATTTTTCCAAGTATAACATTTTTTAAAATTACAAATCTAATAATAAATTTTTAATTACTATTTCTGTCAAAGTTTTCTAATGAAAAATTTCATTTTCAATTTAGTTTGATTATTATAAAGAAGAAAAAAAAATTTACCATCTTTCCAGTCATTCCATTGTCTTGCTTTTGCTAATTCAACAGGGTCATCTTTTTCCATAAGCTCTTCTTTTTTAATCTCTTCCTCTTCTTTTGTATTATCATCACCATATAATGCTTTTTCTTGCAAAGACATTCTACAAAGTAATTAATTGAAGATAATAATGGAAAATGTGATGCAAAATTTACCAATGCAAGAAATTAAAAATAAATGAGCCTTTTAAGTTTGCAAAAATTTAATGTATATATATTAAATAAGAAAATCAATTCACATTTACAGTGGAAATAATGGAATGTTAAAAAATATAAGTAGTAAAAAATTCGTGGAATTTTTCTCATTTCATCAACTCTTTTTTTTCCCCAAACAAATGAACCCAACTTTTTCTAGCATAGACATGAAGTATACTTTTTCCCTCCTCCTTTCCCCCAAAACAACACAAATCCTTCCCCAAAAAGATATAATATTTTTTAAATGTGAGTATAATTTAAAATTTTTTAAATATAAACTATAAAGAAGCCTGAAATAAAAGGCTTTGTAAGTAATACATATTGGGCACATTCTCAGAATGGATATTATACATATTAGGCGAAGTATGAATCTTAAATTTTCGTGAACCTGAATTTTAAAAAGTTTTGCTCAAATTAATTCAAGAAGAGAGGAAAAACTTAAAGAGTTTTTAAAGCAAAATTTAAAAACCATGCTTAAAGAAAAACAAAGTTAAGAACATAGTTTCTAAAAATACTCTTACATTTATTTGCAATCTAGTAGTGAAATTTAGTAAATGAAGCACATAATTAAAACTTTTGAATTTCAATGTTGATGTTTCTGATAACAATTTATATTAATACAATATAATTTATTTGATAAAAAAAAGATAGTCTAAATTTTCAATTTCTAGATTTATTAGGAGCAGGTTATATATGCTCAGAATTTATCAAAATGATTAAAAACGTAGCTTTGAGAAAACTCATTCCAATTAAGAAGTGATATTGCTGATCAAGATACTATTCAAATTATAACATTTTTTTAAAATGAATGCACTTCTTATCAATAAAACTTACCTTTTTTGGAGTTAAAACATTTAACTTTTAGGTCAGAATTTGAATACTGAAAAAAGTGCAGAAATTTGAAATGTTCTATCCCTGTTACCTGTAAACAAGATTTTCTAATTACATAATTACATACAGTACAAATTCCAAAATTCAGAGGTCTAATATCCGGAATAATCTAATATCCAGACTTCCCCTCCCCCCCCAAAAAATAAAACCCTCAACCATTACAAAATCTACGAATGGTGCTACATTACATACGTACGTATGTACATATCTTACATAACTCAAAAACGAGTAGCCTCAGAGCATTGAAATTTTGTATATAGGTCTGCTATAACATGTAAATGTGCATCGCGTATTTTGGTTGCAATCGGCTGCACCAAAAGTACATAAATATATATATGTATATATATATCCACTCTGTTATTTAGCTCAATGATTTCAGTTTCTTTATTCTTGTATATTTGTAAAGTCTACATTTTTTGCTTTAAAAATGATTGAATTGTGTTGTTCTTATCTTTTGGTTAAGGTTTTTATGCCTTTAGTAAATCTGTATGCAATACTTGTTGAATTATCAGCAATGTAAAAGTTATTTAAGTGCGGCTAAGCCTAATTATTTTTGGCATGGCGGCCATGTTTGTTTACATTTGAAACTTGTTAGAATAGCCATTTGTTGCCAATCTATAGAAACTAAGCTTCACAACAACAAAGATAACACTTTCTTTTATTACTGCAAATGAAATCATGCTTAATACATTCTGGAATTTATTCGAGGAAATATGTGTTTAATATTTAGTGTAATAAGTGTTTTAGATATTTTGAGTTTTTATGTATTTTAGCCTTGTAGAGAAGTGAGGACTGAATTAATTGAATGAGAAATATTGAATAGTCTGTGAAACCTGTTTCTTATTTTTTTTTTTTTTTCATTTTTTTAAAATTTCTTTTATACATCATTTTAGATTTATTATAATATTTGAATAGACATGTGGCAAAGATTAGATAAATCTTCAGATGATATAAATTTTGTGTATTCCGAGTTATAAAATGAATGAATGTAATGCTGTTAAGGGAACTTAGTGTAGTGCCAGAGTGTCACTATGGTAAACAAATATAGTGAATTTTAAAGAGTGCATTTATTCTATTGTGCACTATCGACAAAGTAGATTCAATTCAATCCAATAAGTTTAAATGAAATGCAAGAAAAAATGCATATAATTTAATATTCCATACAAGGAAGTCATGTGGTGTACACATCAGATTTTTTTTCCAATAAATAGCATCACCATACAGCACAAAAATCTCTCAGAAAACTCCCAGTTTTCCCATACTTCAAAGTTGACAGCTATGAAATTCGATCAGAATACTACTTATTCCCTGACAAATTACTTATTTACATATTATAGAGTAATACATTTTTCAGTTGCAGCCTTTATTTAATTTATTACATAGACATACATGTAATAGAACTTACCCCTTAACAGCTGATTTTTGCTCTTGTATTGCTTTTTCAAATCTCTGGCGATAAAAATCATCTATAGTCATGACAGGCAAACTTGGATAGCCCATGCCAAATACTTTTTTCTGAATTTCATTTTTAGTTATAATTATTGTCTTTAGTGGCTAAAAATGGAATATTTATTCATTTTTTTTATATTACATAATAATTTTAAAAAGAGAAAGATGGAGAGAAACATCTTTACAGATACAATGTGTAGGATGGGAAAAAGAAAATTATCAATGACAGATTTAAAAAAATTAAAATGCATTTTTCATGTTTTCAAATAATGATTTAAGATATAATATATATTAGATTACGTAAAGCATTGTACAACCACGTTTGTTTTTCAACAAAAAATCAAATTTTCTAAAATGATATGCAAAGTTTTTCTCATAAATGAATCCTACACCTTAAATTATGCATTAATATCAAATGTCATACAAATCACACAAATGATTATGGTTTTATGCACATCTTTTTCAGGCTTAGCATTGAATATGATTAAAACAAACATACATATACACTTTTGTCAAATTTCTAAATTACACACGAATTTTAAAAATTATTTCTACAGCAAGGAAAAAATTTATTCATCTTACTTCTCTTATTTTTCACTAAAAAATATGGAAATTTTGTCCAAAATCTTTGCATATGAACTTAAAGAACTGCAGTACCGTATACATATATAACAAGAGTGTAGTATTGAATGATGGCAAAAGTTTATGCCCTATATCTGGAAAAAAAAAAAAAACATAAGCAGACATATTTGAAAGAGATGTTCTTTTATTACATCAGTCAATATAATCAGCTATCACTTTCAGTCACCATCAATTTCTAGAACTCTTTCCAATGTCTTATAACTTGAGGATTCCTTCATCATAGAATGAGCGGTTTTCTGCAAAGAACACTGTGGATAGTTTTTCACAGCTTTTGCAGATCATCCTTCTTGTCATTCTATTTTAACTTCTTCAGTTTTTATAGCACTGCTTCAGCAAACATATGCTCTCTGCCATTGTCATGATTAATAATAATCCTCTTTGGAGTAACCAAAAGTAGACATCTTTGTGAACTGCAACACAGGGCTCACAGAATTTGTTTATGATGATTTTCTCAGGAGAAGAAAATGATTACTTTGCAATTCTACCAAGCAGACCCTGCAATTCAATCAAGATACCTATACAAAATAAAAGGCAGTATTCATCTTTGATTCTGAATTTCACCTGTCTTCACCTCCTTTTATTTTACTATATATATTCTTGTAAAAGATCTACTTTTAAATGCCTGTCACTAGTCAATTTACAAATAACTTTTTCATACATCCAAGCATGGAAATAGATGTATATATATGAATAATCTTATTCTTTCCCATCAAATTTGGCACTCATATTTTGAGCTTTGGGGAGAATCCTTTTTTTTTTTTTTTTTTTTTTTAATTGGCAAAATGCAGATGAATCTATCTTAAGTTTATCTGCTATCACCTCAGTCGTAAAACTCTGACTGTTTTCCACAAAAGCACATACATCATAATTTCTGTCAGAAGGCTGTCCAAAGCAGGGTTTGTTGCTGAAATTAAGATCACTAATTTGAAATATGCTGTACCGATTTTTTTATTTTTTTATTTTTACTGTGCTGAGAGTAGAAGCACATTATAAATATATGTCTCAAATATTTGCCTTTATGATTCCAACAATAGCACCTTTTGGAAACTCGTGTATCATAACATATGATTCCGACAATAGCACTTTTTGGAAACTCACGTATCGTAACATAATATATGTAACTTTTCTCTATTTTGACAAAATATTTTCACATACAAATTAAGTTCTCTAAATTATTCATAACGCCTCAACCTATCTTTAGGTACTCTAAACTATCATGAAATAATCATTAATACTGCAGCTATATTTCCACACCTAAAAAAATTGGCCATGAAATTTTGCAATTATTTAATATTTTTTATCACTATCACTAATTAACACACACACACACAAAAAAAAAAAAAAAAAAAAAAAAAAAAAAAAGGCATACCGAGTGTTTAGTACACAAACATATTTTATTTATTTGTTACTTCGCAAGACTAAAGCATTATTAAATAAATCATGATAAACTGCTCCTATTTTAATTTCTACAATGCTAGGTTAAATCTTTTCTATTGTATCAAATGCAGTTTTGTTATTTTTACTATTGAAAATATTTTGGCTTCTTCAGTATTCATTTGTTATCAGAATTAAAAAATATTCTTAGAACCTGTTTTCTGCTTATCACCACAGCTTCGCTAAACATTAAGGAAAAGGCAATTAATTTCATTTTTAAAATTTATTAATTGAATTGGAAATTGTAAAAAGGGGTTATGTTACATAAATCAAATTTTACAAGAGCAACAAAATACTATACCATTCCTCTCAAAAATGTCAGAAGACGTGTAAAAATACTGAATTAAATGGATCCTAGTTACATAAATCTCATATATCTTCTGACACTCTTCAGAGGAATGGGAACGGGATAGGTTTTTTTCGGGGGGGGGAGTGTATTGTTTTTGTTGCTCCTGTAAAACATTTGTCACATAATCCCTTTTTCATCTTCCGATTCAATTCGTTCTTGCATTTTACAGCAATAAGTTTTCTTTGGAGTTAGGTTTCCCTGTTTTATGTTCGGTAGTACTTATTAACACGTCTATTCAATTTAATATGAAATTTTTTATATATTTTTAGAATGCTTTTTGCTGCTCTTTATGCATCAAAGATATATTGAAAATTATCCTTACTAGTTCTTCATTAGCTCTTATGAACATTAATAACTGCTTTATTTATATTCTTTCTGTGGATGCTAGATATTAATTGTTGTCAATTTTAATATATTTTATATTCCGAAAACTTTTACAAGTAGCAACTTTTAAAGGTGTAAGGGAGTTGTCATTATTATTATGTAATTCTTTTAAAATACAAATACTAATATTTAGTTTTAAAATATTTAAAACAGTCAAAAGTCGTTAATTCGGACACCCATTATCCGGACCTCAAAGCTAAAATCTTTCTGCGCATGCGCCGCGTTGACGCATGCGCATAGCCGTTTACGCGTGTGCGCAAGACCTTTACGACTGTTGGCAGTGGTGATAAGGCAAAGCATAATTTGCTTCCCTTAAATAAAGCTAAGACTAAACTAAATAAAATTCATGCTTTATTCCGTAAATAAAATAAAAGAACTAACACTGTAGCCTTTACATTTAAAATCATTAAGTGAAAGAAAAACTAGCATGATGCTAACTGATAATCACACAAGAGAACAAGAACAAGAACATTCGCCGATACCGGCGTACATATTTATTATACTCGGCCAACCCGCCGATCTTGACGTCATCGGCCAATCAGCGGCAACCACGTTAGCTTACCTCCGATCAAAATTTGCATGTGGAAAACTAAAGCCAACAAACGGCCCTCTTTTCCCCATGCAAAGACAAAAACAAAACTTTCACAGAAGTTCATAGTTCAATTCTATTATACGAAAACACTTATTGTCTTTAAACACTGAAAACATCTAAACAAAACTTTCTTAAATTAACAGCAGTCGCTGCTTTTGTAAATAAGTCGGCAGTATTTAATTTACTGGTGATAAATTCAAGGTCAAACACTCCATCATTTACTAGTCTTCTAACAAAGTGATATTTTACGTCTATGTGCTTGGTTCGGCGATTTTCTATTGGCGATCTAGAAAAATCAATGGCAGACTTGTTATCACAAAATAGTTTACACTCTCTTAAATTAAACTTTAAAATTTCATCTTATAAGACATTTTTCGTCCACATTAATTCCTTCGCTACTTCAGATAAGGCGATATACTCCGCTTCCATAGTTGATAAACTTACACATTTTTGTTTAACAGATTTCCAGATTACCGGTACTTCATCTAAATATAATACAAATCCTCCCATGGACACGCGGTCATCTCTATTACTTGCATAATCAGCATCTGAATAACAATATAAATTTAGATGTTTAATCTTCGATAAGTTTAACTTATATAATTTAGTACTATTGAGATAACCAAGCAATTTCAACAATGCTTCCCAATGCCTAATTCCAGGATTCTCCTGAAATTGTGATAAGATATTCACTGCATATGTAATATCAGGCCTTGTCCTGTTAGCTACAAAAACTAAACATCCTAACAGATTTCTAAAGGGTAATGTATGCATTTCCGCAATTTCTGCACTTGTAGATGGACAATCTAATTTTGTAAGAATAGTGCCCTTAGCTATGGGAAGTGAAGTTATTGGTATCTGGAAATGTTTAAATTTTTCAAAAATTTCTTTGATATATTTTTGCTGATGTATAAAAACTCCATTCTCATTCTCTAAGAATTCAATTCCAAGTAACGTTTTAGTTTTGCCTAATACTTTAAGATCAAAAAACTTACTCAGCTGTGAAATTACTTTATCTATACTATATTGATCTTTACTAAAAATCACAATATCATCTACATATAACAAGAGAATTACATTTGAATCCTTATAAACACAATTACACCATTGTATTTTCTTAAAATGTAGATTTTCTAAAGTACTTTCAAATTCACAAAACCATTCACGGCCGCTTTGATGTAGACCGTAAATGGCCTTGTGTAATAAACACACTTTATTTTCCTCTTCGATAAATCCCTCTGGTTGGGTCATATATATTTTCTCATTTAGGCTTGCATATAAATATGCGTTCTTTACATCTAACTGACAATTAGTCCATCCATATAAACATACCAGTATAGTGAAAAATATTCTTATGATTGAAAAATTTACTACAGGACTGTAAACGTCATCAAAATCTTCACCTCTTTTCTGCCTGAATCCCTGTGCTACTAAAGCGTGCTTTGTATCTAACCACTTGATTCTTTTCATTTCTTTTTAGCGTATAGACCCATTTGTTTCCCTATCATAGTTTTATTTTCTGGCTTTTCGACTAATTCCCAAACCTTTCTTTTCTTTCATTGTGTCGATTTCTTCTTTCATTGCCTTATCCCATTCTTCGGCATTTACTGATTTTCGTGCTTCTTTAAAATTTTGTGGGACGGAATTAGTGGCGAGGTGATGTCTTATCTATCCAGAAAGTAGATTACGTTTTGGAATAAAAAA